CACCACCACGACCAAGCAGCCAAAAACTACGAGGGCCCCCCCCAAGCATAACCCAGGTGAGGACGAGCTCCCCAGCCCACGTGGCTTCACCCCAGTTCTGGTGCTGGCACAGACAGAGGCTTTGGGACAGCAGCACTGTCCCTCACCCTGATATTTCCAGACCCTACTTCAGTTGTTCACATGAGACATCTAGGAAAAAATAAATAAATAGAAAACCACTCGGTGGACAGGAGGGCCCCCCCCAAGCATAACCCAGGTGAGGACGAGCTCCCCAGCCCACGTGGCTTCACCCCAGTTCTGGTGCTGGCACAGACAGAGGCTTTGGGACAGCAGCACTGTCCCTCACCCTGATATTTCCAGACCCTACTTCAGTTGTTCACATGAGACATCTAGGAAAAAATAAATAAATAGAAAACCACTCGGTGGACAGGGTATGTCAGCATTATCCTGCACTTCCCTGGGGGTCTTGGCAGCTCCTGGGCCATTTTGCCTTTCTCCGCCTGTTTTAAGGCTGTGGGCTTGCTGTCCTACCCCAACACAACACAGCACAGCACATCACAGCATCGTGCAGCACGACCGCTCCGTGCTGCACCACCACGCTCGTCCCAGGGGCTCAGGGCACCCTGTCAGCCAGACACAGCTTTGGCAAAAGGCTCTCCCAGGCTTATAAAAAAAATAAATCAATTTTGAATCATAATAAACAAAGGTGTGAGCTGGCAGAAGGGCTGAAGAGCTCAGGCTGGCTCCGTGCCAGTTTCAGCTACCATTTAGCGAAGGCAATAGCTGCTCTGCCAGAGCCGGGCTGCTCAGGTACCAGCTGGGCAGCTGACAGAGGAAAATGACCAAGCCATCAAGTCACCGGCCACTCCAGCCAGAACACCAGCACAGTGACCTCCTTCTCCTCTCAGGCGTCCCCCCCAGCCCTTGGGAGCACCTCTTTGGCTCTGACTGTTTCTGCCTGGCTTGATTTATCCCACTGCCTGGTGCTCGAGCTGCAGTGCTCGACCCTTTCTGCAGGAAGAACATGACATTTCTCACCACAGTGGCACAGGGGAACCAAAGGGGATGGGTTTGGAAGATCTGCCACAACGCTGCATAGCAAAACTGGAATATGTGTGTGTCAGGGGCTTCATCTCTTTCAGTGACACTTTTCCCTGGCAAAACTGAGCATTTCCTTGATTAATTAATTAATTGCAGAGTACCCCAGCCTGTGGCCAGCACTGCTAACCCTCGTGTTGTTCTTTTAGGAAAGAATTCTATGGATTTGGACTTGGCTGATGCCCTTGATGATACGAACGATAGGAAAGATGGTGGGCGGCCAGACATAAGGCCAGGTGAAGGTATGTTGACTTCCCCTCTGCATCCTACTTGCCACTAGCCAGCCATGCTGTCCCCTGGGACCTGTGGGAGACCCTCCTGGGTACAGGCTCTCACTGCCAGACAGCATCCCTGCCTGGTGATGAGGCAAGGAGAAAGAGGTGTTGCCTGGTCTGAGGCTCCTGTGGCAGCCAGCACCCCGCTGCCACCAGCACCCTGCTGCCACCAGCACCCCACCACTTCTGCAGGCAGCGGGGAGGGACACAGCCCCACCTCAGCAGAGAAGGGCTCTGCCTAATGACCTGTTGCCTGTCTGCAGGTTTCTTTGCCTGTATCTCTCCTGACCTATTAAATCACAGTGATTGTGTAAGTTCCCCCTCGTCCCCGTACCCAACAGCTATTTAAGCGAGGGTATGTGCTGTTGGGGTTCGCAGTCATTGCCAAGATATAAATCTAGAGCAGGCTTAAGTCCTGGCATAACACACACTATGGGCTGGGAGATTTTTTTTCCATCTCTAAAATACTCTGGTGAATGAATCATTTGTCTATGAGGATTGTTCCCTTGAGCATTTGAGCTAGAAAACAGACTTTGCACGACTAGTTTATTGACGTCGAGATGGTCATATACCCTGCTCACACGTGTAATTAATAGTCAGATGTTTTATTAGATTGTATTAACTAGGTGACTTGTCTGCACTTTGATATTCTGGGCTTGTTGAGGTTTCAGACTCCTGCAGGAAACGTTGAGGCGTTGAACTGCTGGAACGTGGCACCGGTCACAAACCAGCACACGCGTTCCCCCGGTATTGCTGCACCCTGGGCTGCCCGGGACCTCTCCAGGTTCTGGCAGAGTCAGGGTTTTTTCTTTTTACACTCATTACTAGGCCCATAAATCTGTTTCTGTGGTAAGCTGGTGAATAAGGCAGTCTCTCCAGTCTGCTAAGGCAGAAGTAACCCTTCCCAAAACACACAGCAGAGAAGGACAGTTTTTCTGGTTCCTCGTTGGGCTTCATCTCCCATCACACACCTTCCTGCACCCCGAGGCTCCCTCTGGGACCAGAGCCGAGGGGTTCAACAGCTCCACCCATTCAGCTGCCGATTCCCTGGGCGTATTTCTCTGCGCTTGTCCTGCACAAATTAAATATTCCCACTACAACCATGTCCTGTACTGAGACGTGCTGGTGCCCAGTTCTGCCACTGAAGTTGCTCTGCCCCTCCAGGAATGAGGAGAGTCAGCTCCCTGCCAGCAGGACCCCACTTCCTCCCTCCTCCACTGCCAGCTGAGGCTGAGCAGCCAAAACATTTCATGAACTCATAAATACATCAGCCATTTTAGTTTAAAAAAAAAACCAAAAATAACCAAAATAAAAACCCTAGTGGTACTTAAACTTTGATTCACGGGTATTTCTTTCAAGCTAGACTTAAAGTCAATTATTACCTCTTTTATGAGCTTAAAATAATTTGGGGTTAAACTTTTTGTTAACATCTGGTAATTGTGAGAGAAGCAGAACTGCTTATTGACCAGTCCCTGTTCTCACTGAGGTTGGAGTAGCCAACTGACTGGGAGCTGCTGGTTTAAATGGGCATGCAAAGCCCCGGCTCTGGGCCCTGCTGCACAGAAAGACCCACACAGCTCTTCAAAATAGCTGGAGAGTTTTAGAGAAAATACTCAAATGAATAGAGCAGCCTCCATCTGCCCAGCAGAAAAACATTTCCCCAGGAGCAGGGGTTTGCAGGAGGCCAGTCCTACCCTGGGTACTTGATGCTCGCCGGTGACCCCTGCCCAGAATCCCCCAAACGTCCCATTTCCAGGCCCTCCCCGTCCAAAGGCACTTGGTTTTTGGGATCCCTCTCATCCCAAGCAAGCCACGTGCTATTTTTCTTCCCCATTCTGTTGTTTTCAAGGCAGCTCTGGCTGCATTCACCCTCCCAGGAAGGCAGCATTGGTGTTTTTCTGGGTGAATTTGGCTCTTGCAGGTTGAGGGGGCAAGCTCCCCCACTGCTGCTGAGCACACGAGAAGCGGTGCCAGCTCTCCATGGGGAAGCCCGTGGCTGCCTCTCCCTTTGGGTACCAACCACATTCTGTTCTTCTTAATGAAGGATTTTCAGATGACGACCTGGCCGGCATCATAGACGGCGGCTACAGCCCCGACAAGAAGAAGGGTAAGTGGTGACCCACCTAACATCAGTTTGCTTTAGCGGTCACGTCTCGGGCGATAACCACTGTATGAGAGGCACTCATCTTCTCACCAGGGATGAGTGTGGAAAGGAGGGGCTCAGCCTTGGGGCCAGGTGCACACACAGCTTTTTGCCTCCATGGTCACACCTTCTGCCAGAGGTTGGAGGTGCTTGTTTTTGATCCCATGGAGGCTCTGCAGCTCCAGCTGCCACCAGGGCAGGCAGGACCCACATCTCCCCCACCACCTCGAAAGCAGGTGCCCACCCCTGTGCCATGAGAGGGCATAAGCCTTTGTTTGCCTTCTACCACGTGACCACCAGTGGTTGAAACAAGGAGGAAAAACAGAAACAATCAGATAAGCCTGCACATTTGCAAGGATCCACTGCATTAAATATTAAAAGCAGTCGAGTAAAGAGATGAATGCCACAAGTGCAATCAACATTTAATGAATCCCTGTGCCAAGGACATACCACATCGGAGGCATTAATACAATGCTGACCTGCTTCCATAAATTCAGGATGTAAGTGACTCGGTAAGGACTGCAGTGGGAGCGACTTCTCCTCCCAACCCAGTTTCTCCAGGGAAGGTGATGTTAAAATAGATTTCAAGCCACGTGTAGGTTCCCTGACGTTACAGAGCTCAGCCAGTCGCGTCCCTGTGACGGCACAAGTGTGCTGTGTACCTGTCCAGCTGTGTCTGTTCTCTCTGTACCCCAAGAGCAACGCAGGATGGAGGTGAGGTTAGCCATCGTGCAGGCAGAGGTGTCCCCTGCAGAGGCTCCCCCCAAAGCTTCCCCCAGGCACACGCAGTGGGACAGAGCACCAGCTTCAAACCCCTCTGAGAAACAGCGGAGGTGTGGGGCGGCAGAGACCCCACAGGGACTTACGCTTGCCCCCAGCCCAGGGCTGCCCCTGGGACCGTGCTGCCCCCTCCCCTGCATGCCAGCTCCCTCCCAGGCTGCCCAGCATGGTGGTGGGGGGAGCACAGGGGCACCGGCCACTGACGGGTTCGTGTCTCT